TGGTATGTTCTTCCATCTGTTTATGCCTTCCTCTTTCTCTTTTTTCAGCGTCTTGTAGTTTTCCACGTATAGGTTTTTTACCTTCTTAGTTAAGGTTATTCGTAGGTATCCTAATTTTTTTGGTGCGATGGTAAGTAGGATAACTTTTTTAGTCTCTGTAAATTCATTATTGGTGTATAGAAATGCCATAGATTTTTTGGCATTGATTTTTGTATCCTGCTACATTGCCAAATTAATTTATTAAGTCTATTAGTTTTTTATGGAGTCTTTTGGGGTTTTTATGTACAATGTCATGTCATCTGCAAATAAGGACAGCTTTACTTCTTTTCCAATTTGGATGCCTTTTATTTCTTCTTCTTGTCTAATTGCAATGGCTAATTCTTCCAGTACTATGTTGAACAGGAGTGGTGAGAATGGGTATCTCTTTCTTGTTCCTGTTCTTAGGGGAAATAGTTTTAGTTTTTGCCCATTGAGTATGATGTTTGCTGTGTGTTTACCATATATAGCTTTTATTATGTTGCGGTATGATCCTTTTATTTCCCCTTGTTGAGAGTTTTAATCAAGAAAGAGTGGATTTTGTCAAATGCTTTTTCTACATCAATTTATTTGACTGTGTGACTTTTATCTTTCAATTTGTTTATGTAATGTATCACATTTATTGATTTGTGGATATTGTACCATCCTTGCATTCCTGGGATAAATCCTATTTGGTCAAGGTGTATGATCTTTCTGATGAACTGCTGGATCTGATTTGCTAGAGTTTTGTTGAGATTTTTGTCATCTATGTTCATGAGGGATATTGGCATGTAATTCTCTTTCATTGTGTTGTATTAATCTGGTTTTAGTATTAGTGTAATGCTGGCTTCATAGGAGCTTGGAAGTGTTCCTTCCTCTTGAATTTTTTGAGGAGAATAGATTTTAGTTCTTCTTTGAATGTTTGGTGAAACTCCCCTGTGAAGCCATCTCTCCACAGGCTTTTGTTGGATGCTTTTTGATGACTGCTTCAATTTCTTCCATAGTTATTGGCCTATTGATATGTTCAAATTCTTCCTGATTGCGTTTTGGAAGGTTATATTTTTCTAGGTATGTCCATTTCCTCCAGGTTGTCCAGTTTGTTGGAATAGAGTTGTTCATAGTATTTTTTAACAATCGTTTGTGTTTCAGTAGGGTCTGTTGTTATTTCACTTCTTTCATTTCTGATTGGCTAGAGGTTCATCAATCTTGTGTATCACTTTAAAGAACCAGTTCTTGGTTTTGTTGATCTTTTGTATTGTTTCTTTGGTCTCAATGTCATTTATCTTAGCTCTGATCTTTATTATTTCCTTCCTACTGCTTACACTGGACTTTTCTTGTTTTTTTTCTAACTCTTTGAGTTTAAGAGTTAGGAAACTTATTACCATTGTTTCTTATTTTTTTGCAGTAGGCTTGTAGAGGTATGAACTTCTCTCTCAAGATTGCTTTAGATCAACAAAACAACAAGAAAGCCCACTGTATGGGAAAACATATTTGCGAATGTTATCACTGATAAAGGTTTAATCTCCAACATCTACAGGGAACTTATACAACTTAATAAAATGAAGATAAATGATCTAATAAAAACACGGGCAGCAGACCTAAATAGAATCTTTTCAAAAGAAGACAGAAGGAAGGCCAAGAGATGCATGAAAACATGCTCAAACTCACTAATTATCGAAGAGATGCAAATCAAAACGACAGTGCAGTACCATCTTGCACCTGTCAAAATGGCTATCATCAACAAATCAATAAACAACAAAAGTTGGCAAGGATGTGGAGAAAAATGAACCCTCGTGCACTGCTGGTGGGAATGTAACCTGATGCAGTCACTGTGAAGAACAGTATGGAGTTTCCTCAAAAAACTGAAAATGGAGCTCCCATTTGACCCAGTAATCCCATACCTAGGAATATATTCTAAAAAACTAGAAACACCCATCAGAAAGGATATATACACCCCTGTGTTCATAGCATCACAATTTGCAATAGCTAAGATTTGGAAATAACCTAGGTGCCCATCAGCAGATAATTGGATCAGAAAACTATGCTACATCTACACAATGGAATACGATGCTGCCATAAAAAAGAAGGAATTCTCACCATTTGCAGCAACCTGGATGGAATTGGAGAACATTATGCTGAGTGAAATAAGCCAGTCAATGAAAGGAAAACACTACATGGTCTCTCTCATTTATGGATAAAAAAAAGAACATTATTACCTGATGAACAAAAAGATAGATAGAGACAGTAAAGCAACAAACAGACTGTCAGAGGGAAGATTAGGGAGATGTGGGGGAGATCAACCAAAGGACTTGAATGCATGCATATAAGCATAATCAATGGACACAAAACTCCCGGGAGTGAGGGCATGTATGGGAGTCAGGAGTGGGTAATGGTAAGATATGTACACATATAATAGCTTAATTTTAAAAAATGGGGAAAAAAAAGACTTCTTTAGCTGTGTCCCATAGATTTTGGATTGTTCTCTTTTCATTGTCATTTGTTGCCATGATGTTTTTTATTTTTTTCTTGATCTCTTTAGTAACCCAGTCAGTGTTTAATAGCATGCTGTTTAGTCTCCATGTATTTGCTTTTTTTTTTTTTTTTTTTTTTTTTTTGGATTGTTTTTAAAGTACTTGATTTCCAGTTTTATGCCACTTTGATTTGAGAAGAGGCTTGATGTGATTTCTATCTTCTTGAATTTGAAAAGACTTTGCCTGTTATCCAACATATGATCTATCTTTGAAAATGACCCATGTTCAACTTGAGAAGAATGTATATTCTGTGGCTTTGGGTTGAAATGTTATGAAGATGTCAATTAATTCCAGCTTGTTTAGTGAGTCATTTAGGATTAATGTTTCTTTGCTGATTTTTTGTTTAGAGGATTTGTCCAGTGGTGATAGTGGGGTATTAAGGTCTCCTACTATGATTGTATTGCTGTCATTCTCTCCCTTGATATCCTCAAGGAGGTTTTTTGTTTGTTTGTTTGTTTGTTTTTGTTTGTTTGGGGTTTTTTTTTGGGGGGGGGGGTTTGTATTTGGATGCTCCTGTGTTGGGTGCGTATATGTTTACCAGAGTTATTTTTTCTTCTTGGATTGCTCCCTTTAGTATTATGAAGTGGCCTTACTTATATCTTGTTATGTCCTTCATTTTGAGATCTAATTTGTCAGATATAAGTAGTGCTACCCCAGCTTTTTTTTTTCACTTCCATTCGCCTGAAAAACCTTTTTCCATCTTTTCACTCTCAGTCTGTGTGTGTCTTTTTTTCTGAGGTGGGTTTTGTGTAGACAGCAGATATATGGGTGGTGTTTTGTTATCCAATCTGATACCCTGTGACTTTTGATTGGGTCATTTAATCCATTTATATTTTAAATTATTATTGATCGGTACTTATTTGTCACCATTTTTATTCTTTACCCTTGTGGTGTTCCTTCTTCACTTCCATTATTATTATTACTATTATTATTGTTATTATTATTATTGTTATTATTATTACAGTCTGCTTTAGCCTTTCTTGCATTACTAGTTTGGTGGTAATAATTTCCTTAGTTTTTTTTTTTTGTTTGTGAAGCTCCTGATTTCACTTCAATTTTGATTGATAGCCTTGCAGGGTACAGTATTCTTGGATTCAGACCCTTCCTCTGCATGACTTTGTATATTTTATTCCATTCACTCCTGGCCTGATGAATTTTTGTTGAGAAATCATTTTCTAGTCTGATGGGGGATCCTTTTTAGGTAACTTTCTCTCTCAGGCCACTTTTATGATTATTACTTTGTCGTTGGTGTTATCTAACAATGTGAAATGAAAACTGCTCTGTTTAGAAATTTTAATTTTATTATTTAAATATTTGAAATCCCTTCTCTGTAACTATATCTTTTATTTTCTTCCAATATAACATTGGTAAAATAAATATTATAAAATAAATGTTTCTAAATATACTAAAGTGAATAGGAATGCACTTGAAAGTTCTTATAAGTATAGATGCCGGGACCGGTTTGGCTCAATGGATAGAGCATCGGCTTGGGGACTGAAAGGTCCCGGGTTCGATTCCGGTCAAGGGCATGTACCTTGGTTGCGGGCATATCCCCAGTAGGGGGTGTGCAAGAGGCAGCTGATTGATGACTCTCTCTCATCGATGTTTCTAACTCTCTATCTCTCTCCCTTCCTCTTTGTACAAAATCAATAAAATATATTTTTTTTAAAAAAAAAGAAAGTTCTTATAAGTATAGAATATCCAGTATTTCTTTAATTTAATCATTCCTTGAACAATTACTGCAGAAAACTTGGATGCTATACAAGTTTTTCTAAGAAAATTAATTTTATTTTAGGATTTGTAACTACATCTTTGGACATTTTTGGCCTCTCTGAAATTTCTTTCTTTCTTTATATTTTTCCCAAACTTATTGGGTAAATTTATGAGTACTTTTATTTAAACCAAAATATAGAACATTCAGAAATGCTGGGAAAGAATGAAAGCTAACTGCTTTTTTTAAAGTGTAATCTTTTAAATGTTATTTTTAAAGTACCACATTTATTGCCTTACCTGGTTTGGCTCAGATGATAGATCAATGGCCTGTGGACTGAAGGGTCTCAGGTTCAATTCTGGTCAAGGCACATGCCCAGGTTTAGGGATTGGTCCCTAGTAGGGGACATGCAGGAGACAGCTGATCAATGATTCTTTCTCATCAGTGAGGTTTCTATCTCTCTCTCCCTTTGCCTTCCTCTCTGTAATCAATAAAAATATATTTAAAACAACAACAAAAACAGACCACCTTGATTAATTTTAAGGATCCTGTGTGTGTTCAACTTCATGTAGAAAATGTTACTGTAGTTTAGCTTGAAATATTGGCCTGATATTTTTCCCCCTAGCAAAATAGTTTTAGAAATTAAAACATCACATAATAAATCTCCTTTTAGACTTGACTCCTTTTTCAAGACCTTATAAGCAGACAAAGACTACAAGAGTGAAGCTCAAATCTTGAGAAAGATGATCAGAAGTAGATCTAAAAGTCCAAGACGCCTGTCACCATCTTCCCGGGTAAGTTTTGGAAAGTTATAAACATTTTGCAGTTTGTGGCTCAAACACTGACATTTATTCTTTGATTTACCTAATCTGGAAACAATTCAGGTTGATTAGTCTATCAAAGAGGTTGTGGATAGAGGTCTCTTTGATGGACAGTGGACCATTGAAATTGGTTCTTTATCCCTAGTATTTGTCATTGTTGGGAGGCAATCAGATAAATGTAGAGCAATTTGGGATGAAGCTGTTTAAAAGTGAGGTGATTTGTAAACTTTTTTTCATCATTTCTTTATATTAATACCATCATGATTGCTTAAATAGTGACTGTGAACAGCCATCATATCAAAGAAGAGCTTCACATTTCTTATCTAATAACTGTAGGTTACGCACTGTGATGCAGAGCTTTTGAAGACCACGCGAGACCGTGAAGAACTTAAGTGCATGCTGGAAAAATATGAGCGTCATTTGGCAGAAATTCAGGGTAATGTCAAGGTTCTTACATCTGAGAGAGACAAGACCTTTCTTCTTTATGAACAGGTAAACTTGCTTATAAGGAAACAAAATATGTAAGTAATAACAGTTAACTCTAGGGATATGTAATTATTTAGGTATACTTAAATCTGCCAATCAAATTAATTTAACTACCAGTTAGGAATTACCTTCATTCTTAAGATATGTTTAAAGAAATACATTTCCAATACAGTATATGTGTGGACATACATTTGTTGTCCCCATACCCATAAAAGGTCACATACATGCATAGAAATAGTTTGATTTTTGAAATAAAAAAATGGGGAAAATGTTAAATAGAAAGATTAAAAAATTGTTACATATCATTTTAATGTACCATCAATCACTTTAGAAATTGCCATATAATTTAATTTCAGGGAGGAAAATCAGTTTATCTCTATTTTTAGCTTAAAATTAATACCTCTATTAACCAAATAGTTCCTTTATTTCAGAAATATTAAACACCATATATTACTAGCATAATTTATTTTAAAAAATATAAAATTCAATTAAGAATTACAGCTGCTTTGTGCAGGGTGATGGGCTTGCCACTTTAAGAAAAGAAAAAAAAAATCATAAGATGGAAACATTGCCAGTTTTTTTTTGTTGTTGTTGTTGTTTTTTTAAGTTTTAAAGTTCACCTTAGAGGGTTGTATTTTAATTAAGTCAAGCTTACTCATCACTTTTTATTTTATTTTTTAAATATAGTTTTATTGATTTCAGAGAAGAAGGGAGAGGGAGAGAGATAGAAACATAATGATGATAGAGAATCATTGACTGGCTGCCTCTTGCACGCCCCTTGCTGGGGATCAAGCCTGCAACCAGGGCATATGCCCTTGACTGGAATCAATCCTGGGATCTTTCAGTCCATAGGCAGATGCTCTACCATTAAGCCAAACCAGATAGGGCACTCATCTCTTTTTAAATAACTACAGTGACTTTGGATACCATGATTATGTGGCCTGTTTGCTTCATTTAATAAGGGAAGGCAAGGCTAATAAGGTTAACTATTTTGCCCAAGAACAGCAGGAATCAGTCCAGATTGTCTGACTCCTATTTGGGTTTGCTCTTTGCCATTTAATTAAGCTTGTTTTAGGAGAATTGGCCCAGGAGGATATAGATCTGTTTGGGCATATATCTTAATGTATAAAATAAATGCCCAGTGTATAATATACCATAGCATAAATCCTTTTGGTTAAATCACAGGACTCTTTTCTTTCACTTTAATCTCAATCTTATTTCTTTCTCAGCATTGTCTTTTATTATGCTTAAAGTTTTAAACATTATATTAGCTATTTAATGGATGACACATGATATTCTCTTCCATAATTAGCTTTCTTGTTTTTAGTTTGGGCAGTTTAAATAGCAGCTACCACTTCTTAGTGTGTGGGCTTTGATTAGAATTCCCTGGCGTCTGTGTCTGTGCCATTCAACCTGAGTCAGTGAACGTGCACATGAATATAGGCCAGGAGAGTCCTTAATGAGAACGCTGTGCCTATGAGTATAAGATGGGAGATTATTTTACTGAAACCTCTGCTCAGAAAGCCCTGTACTTGCATAAGTATACTTTGTTAATGATCCTCAAATTTTTGCTCTATTCATTCTCTACAGACAATTTTATTTTATTTTAAATATATTTTGATTGATTTCACTGAGAAAGGGAGAGGATTAAAGAGATAGAAACATCAATGATGAGAGAGAATCATTGATCAGCTGTCTCCTGCACACCCTACACTGGGGATCGAACCACCAAAATGGACCTGTTTCCTGACCAGAAATTGAACCATGATCTCATGGTTCATAGGTCAACAATCAACCATGAGCCAGGCTGACTGGGCATAGACAATTTTAAATTGAGATTTGAAGTATAAATTAGTTAATAAGAAGCTAGTGTGAGCTACTGCACTACTTCATTAACTCAGGGAACACAGTTTAAAAAAGTTCAGATACTGTTTTCTACATTTGCAATCTTATTGGGGAGATAAAGTAAATTGTCTTTATTTGCTTTTTTGTTATTTTAGCACAAGTAATCTAAAGATATTTTTCTTTATGGTGATCACTAGACTATGTAGAGTATGAATAGGGTTTCTGTTATCTTGAAAAGGATAAGAAGGAACATTTAGATTAAAGAAATGATGTGAGGCACATGACAAAGGTAGGTGATTCAGTCAGACTGGCATCAAAGGTGCGTGACAGGAGAGGAAGGGGGAGCTGACACTTGAGAGGTAGATTGAACTAGAGCAGCTGTCTGCAAATGTTTCTGTGAAGACCCCAGGTAATAAATATCTTGGGCTCTGCAGGCCATGATCTCAGTCATGGTGAGTCAGCTGTTTTTGTGATGTGAATGCACCCACAGATGATATACAAATGAATATGTTTGCTCTGTTACTATAATATAACTTCATTTATGGACACTGAAATTTGAATTTCATATTATTTTACTCATTATGAAATATTTTTCTTCTTTTGATTATTGTCAACTATTTAAAAATGTAAAAATATTATAAGCTTATAAACTTACATAACACAGGAGGCTTGCTGGATTTGGCCTGTGAGATTTGGTGTAGGTTACCAGCTTCTGGACTATATGGTGGAGCCTGTTCAAGGGCATTCCAAGGAGTTTATACTTTGCTTTATAAGCAATGGGCAGCTTATTTTTTTTTAAAGCAGAAGAAATATGACTAAAGCCTCATTTTTACAATTTTAATCTGGTAAGAATTTTATATTTTCTTCTTTATCTCATACACAATTTTTATATGTTATCTTTTTATATAACAACTAGTGACCCGGTGCATAGATGCATGCACATTGAAAGAAAATTAATTGGAAGGTGACTGATGGGGTGAGACTGGGTGAAATGGTCTAGATATGCCCTGGAGCCAACCTCCCTTGGTTGCTCCCTGGCATCTGCTGAATGAGCGGAGTCACTCTGGCAGGTGGTGTCTTTCGGCTTGGCCTGCAGGGATTGGGCCAAAACCGGCTCTCCGACATCCCCCCGAGGGGTCTGGAAGTGTGAGAGGGCACTCTGCAAAGTTGCTGTTGTATAGATTGTGGAACATAAACACAAGTGTGCAGTAAACCAGTGCCCCCAAAACAGCATCACTTATGGCCAAATGTGGAATCATGTGGCCCCAAGAGAAATCAGGCTCCCTCCTCCCTGGGTTTGGGGTGCATCACCCAAGAACTCCTGCTGCCAAGTCACTGTAACTCAGCAGCTCCTGCGTTGAGTGTCTGCCTCCTGGTGGTCAATTCTCATCATAGTGATGGTTGGACAGAGGGAAGGACGCTTCACATACTAGCCTTTTATATATGAAGATTTCTCCCTCAAGAGAACTAGAGGAGGGAGAATCCATGGAATCTTTAAAAGGCTGTTGTAGTAGTCCATGCATGAGGCATTTATGGACTGGGCTAGGATGCTGCCAAGGAAGAATTGACAAGATTTTATTAGAGCCAAAAGGAGGGAGGAATGGAAATGTCTGAAGTTCCGTTTTTGAAAGACTGAAGGAATGTGGTAATAGAAAAAGAAATAGGGAAGTCATTTGTGATTGATGGAAAGATGTTGGTTCAGACAGATGGAGTACATTCAGGTAGGAATCGCCATCAGGCAGTAAGAAATGTTGGATGGGAGTACGGAGAAAAGAAAGAGCTGAATATTTTGATTTAGAAGTCATCTGCCTAGAGGTGAGTTTAGGGCCTTCAGAGTGGGTGAGGTCTCTGAATGAGAAAGCTATATATAGGGGGTCTTGGAAAGTTTTATTGGATTGGAAAGAGAGAAAGAAGACAGGAAGCAAAGGCAGGGAAAGGGAGGGAATTATATCAAGAAGGATGTTCAAAACAATGTCAAATGTTATCAAAGTATCAAAAAGAAGAACTGAGAAAAGGCCATTAGATTTGTTAAGGTCTTTAGTTGAAATTCTGCAACATGTGGGAGCCAGGTTATAGTGGGGTGAGAAAGTGGGTAGAAAGGAACAGGCCATGATACAGACACTTAAAACAAAATTTGGCAACGGTTTTGGAAAGTAAAATTCTGTTTGTATATAGCATTTGCATTTATTTGGATAAAGTCAAAATTATAACATTATCTTACTCTATGGCTGTTGATAATAGGTTTGGATTTCAACCAGCTATATATAAAGTTGTATTTGTGTCTGTTCTAAACAGGAGTCTGTCTATGTATTTAAATAATAGGCGCAGGAAGAGATTGCCCGGCTTCGCCGAGAAATGATGAAAAGCTGTAAGTCTCCTAAATCAACAACTGCACATGCCATCCTCCGGCGGGTGGAGACTGAAAGAGATGTAGCCTTCACTGACTTACGAAGAATGACCACAGAACGAGACAGTCTGAGGGAAAGGCTAAAGGTTTGAGAGAATTTTATCTATGTGAACATTTGTGAAACCTGACACAGTGACATTGAAAGTGCTTTGTTTTGTTTTTGTTTTTTTAACCAGATTGCTCAAGAGACAGCGTTTAATGAGAAAGCTCACTTGGAACAAAGGATAGAGGAGCTGGAGTGTACAGTTCATAATGTAAAGTCATTTTTGCATTTTTGGCTATAAACTGTCAGTGGCTTTCCCTTTTCCTTTTTTACTGTGTTCAAAGAAGTTCTTTTATTTTTCTACGATAGGGTTTCTAATCCTAAAATACTGAAGGGGTGTGTGTGTGTGTGTGTGTGTGTGTGTGTGTATTAAACTCTTTATTCCAAAATTTGAGTATAATATTTTTTATGTTAGGTTGCAAAATGGCATTAAAAAAACCATTAGGGGTCTGTTCTCAGGGATTTTAGCACGATTTTTCATCTCCCTATTTCATTAAAGAGAACATTTCTAGATATAGAGAAACTGGATTATTCTACCTAAAGAGTAGCTAGGGTAGAAAAAATTATGGTGAAATGAAAATTAATGAGAAAAATATATGTAAACTGAATTTAAATGTGAGGCAATACCTTTTTTATTAATGAAAGATTTGAGATGCTGTATTTGAGATATTATGACTATATAAACAGAATTAGTGGAATTTGACTTTCTGTTACAAATTTAATGCATTTATAAATTCATGTGTACCATGTTTTTATGAGTAAAAAGAAGCAGTATATGGGAAGTAATTTATTTCATAATTCTACTTTATAGCTATAAATTGTTAGGTTGAGCAACAAATATGAATTTTTTTGCAAATAGAATATGTATGCGGAAGTCAAATTGAACCAGATTGAAAATGTAGATGGATATACTATTCCTTTTTAAAATATATATTTTTATTGTTGCTGGTATTTCAGATATCTCTCGTCCCCTTCCCTTAATCCCCATATATACTATTATTGTTCCTACTCCACAACACTTTGTGCATATAGCCTTACACAAAGTTCAAGCTTAAGCTAACCATCTCATTGTATAAATCTTGTCATCTACAAGTTTTTACAAATAGAGGCTTTTTTAGTGATGGCAGTTACCTGGTCATTTCATTTGTATAGCTTGATGATGAACGTATGGAGCAAATGTCAAATATGACTTTGATGAAGGAGACCATAACCACTGTGGAGAAAGAAATGAAATCACTAGCAAGAAAGGCAATGGACACTGAAAGTGAACTTGGCAGGCAAAAAGCAGAGAATAATTCTTTGAGGTAAACTAAACTGCCTTTGAACAACAAATAGTTATTATTAATGACTCTGCTTTCTGTAGTTTATTTTATAATGGTAATTAAGTTATTTGTTGACTTTAATTTTGGAGAGGATTATTACAAAACAGTTGTAGAAGCTTCGGCACACATTAAGTGATTTCCCGAAGATCAATCACAGATTGGTAATGCCTCACCTAACCAGGACTCATACTGAGTAATCTCAGTTTTACATATGGAGAAAGCCTGCATGTTTAACTGAAATAGCTTTTACAGTGCATGTTTGACTTTAGCATTTGATTATTAATTTAGCTTTATAACTTAAATTATGTTCTAGGGTCTGAACAGTGTATGAACACACAAAGCACAGGTTTTAGAGTAGCTTAGTAAAGAGGTGGTTTAGAATATAATAAAAAGTCATAGCAGAGAAATTGGAACATGTAATGGAACTTATTAGCTGAATGTCAACTACTGTGCTTAGCCCATCCTGCATACTGGTGCAGTGGCAGAAGACATTGCACTAAAGCTGCCTACAGGCAATAAGTATAAGGGAATCAGTTTCTGAGGGCCTCCATGCTAGTAGATGTTTTATTTTTATTTTATTTTGGTTTAATTTAGTTTTAGTTTTGGTACTTATTGATGCGAAAAATAGCGATTGTACAGATTCAGCAAGATTGAATTTCAGTGGATATATTTGAAAAAATAATAGTTCATGTGAGTGTGAAACAAATTATTAAGTTACAGATAATACTTGATTTGCATGAGCTCTCAGAGTCTTCTCTTTGATATTTCAACCCAGAGTATTGGGTCTGTGATGCCTACATTGGAATCATTTGTCAGGATAGATAATCACTCAAATTCTTCCCTTCACCTTTGCTTTTATTTCCTGCTTAAAAAGACATTGCAATCTCAGGTAAAATAAAAATAATCAATCCCTGATGATGTGGCTCAACGGTTGAGTGTCAACCCAGGAACCAAGATGTCCCAGGTTCGTTCCCAGTCAGTGTACATGCCTGAGTTACAGAATTGATTCGCAGTAGAGGGCATGCAGGAGGCAGCCAATTGATGATGTTCCTCTCTCATCGATATTACAATTCCTCTCTCCTTCTCTCCCTCTAAAACTCAATAAAAACATTTTAAAAAATGATAGTCAAATAAAACAGCATCAACAAAGAAAGCCTTGGGAAATAGAGAAAAGTGTAAAGAAAATTTAAATCTCCCATGATTCCATAACCCAGGGAAGATTTTTAGTAACATACATCTGTTTCTAACCAGAAATATTTTTGTGTACATAATCTTTCAATGTAATTGACATCATCGCATATTAAGTTATATATTTGAGCCATTTCACTTAATTGTAAACCATAAGCATTTTCCCGGGTCATTGAAAGTTCTTTGAAAACATTTTAGTAGATTATTAAAATATTCTAACATATAGATGTATAATTGGAGATATTTTTAGTGTACATTTGTATTAATGATATTAACGTTTGGTCAGTTTTGACATATGTATGGACCTCTAAAACGATCATCACAATCAGGGTAGTAGCCCTAACCAGTGATCCCAAAAGTTTCCTCATAACCTATAACCTCTCTCTACCTTGAATTCCTAGGCTACCACTGATTTGCTGTCTGGCATAGGAAATTGTTTGTATTCTTTAAAATGTTATATAAATGAAATCACAGATTATGTTTTCTTTTGCCAGGATATTTTCACTCACCATAATTATTCTGAGATTTATGCATGTTGTCACATATAATCAAGAGTTTAATTCTGTTTGTCACAGAGTAATATTTCATCGTATGTCCACATTAGACATTTTGATTGTTTGTTATTTGGGACTACACAAATAAAAGTGTTATGAATGTTCTTCTGTGAGTCTTTGTATGGACAAATGCTTTTATTTTTCTTGGATAAATACAGTAAATAGAGTGACTGAGTCACATGATGGATATTTAACTTCAGAAAAAACTGTAAACTGTTTCCCAAAGTGGTTGCACTATTTTATTTTACTTTTGCACCACCAGTGTATGAATGTTCTAGTTGTTCCATATCCTCACCAACACTTGGTATGCAGAATCTAATGTTAGCTATTCTAATAGGTATATATTGTGGTTAATGATATGCCTTCTTAATGACTAATGATTTTATACATCTGTTCTTGTGCTTATGGGATATATATATATATATATTTTTTTTCTTTTTCTTTCCTTAGTTTCTGTTCAAATCTTTTTCACACTCTTTTTGAGTTGTTTATATCATTAGTAAGTTGTGAAAGGTGTTTTTTTTTGGTATTTTAGGTATAAGTTTTGTCAGGTATGTGTTTTGCATTTATTTTTCTCCCTGTCTCTGGATTGCCTTTTTATTTTCTTAACAGTGTCTTTTAAGGAGCATATATGTTCCTGATTTTGATTAAGTAAAATTTATTGGCTTTCAGAAATTCACATCCAGCTTTGTATGTTCTTTTAAAAATATCATTAAGCTTCAGGTAACTGAGATTTTCTCTCATATTTTCTTCTAGCAGTTTTGTAGTTTTAGTTCTTACATTTATTTATTTTTTAAAATATATTTTATTGATTTTTTAAATCAATAAAAGGAGAGGAAGGGAGAGGGATAGAGAGCTAGGAACATAGAAGAGAGAGAAACATCAATCAGCTGCCTCCTGCACACCCCCTACTGGGGATGTGCCCGCAACTAAGGTACATACCCTTGACCGGAATCGAACCTGGGACCCTAGAGTCTGCAGGCTGGCACTCTATCCATTGAGCTAAACCAGCTAGGACTAGTTCTTACATTTAGATCTGTGATCCATTTCAAATTACTTTTTGTGTATAGTACTAGATATAGATCAAAGTTTACTTTTATGCATATGGATATTTAGTTAAAAAACTATCCTTTCTACATGAAATTGTTTTCTACCTTTGTAGCAAGTCACTTGTCCATGTATGTGAAAGTTTGTTTCTTGGTTGTCTCTTTTGTTTGATGAACATCCTACATAATAAAAGAGTAATACGCAAATTAACCATCACTCCGCTATACTCTCAAGCCATGCCCACCAGCCAATCAGAGTGAGTATGTAAATAAACCTAACCAAGATGGCTACAGCCACAGAGAACAGGAGGGTTTCCCAGGCAACAGAGGAAGCCAAGCTTTCCACCTGCCCTTGCTGGCCTAAGCTTCCACTCAAGGCTACAAAGTTTCAATTATAGAAGGTAAACAAATACAAACAGGAATGGTTGCTGCCACAGAGCAAGCAGAAGACTTGGCTCCACTCCAGGCTACAAAGTTTTAATTGTAGAAAGTAAATAAATTCCAGATACCAGGGCCTCCGCTTGCATTGCCATGGGGTGTGGCTAGCCTGAAAACCACCACAGGACCCTCAGGCCACCCCACGCCCCAAGGGAACCCCCATCCTGATCCGGACACCCTTCAGGGCAAACTGGCCCCTACCAGTGTACCAGGCCTCTATCCTATACTAATAAAAGAGTAATATGCAGATTGACCATCACTCCAACACACAATAGCTGGCCCCATGTGGTCAAAGATGGCTACCCCCATGTAGACACAAGATGGCCAGCAGAGGACAGCAGTTGGGAGACACCAGGCCTGCAAGGAAGGGCAGTTGGAGGCTATCAACATTGCAGGGAAGGGCAGTTAGGGGTGATCAGGCCGGCAAAGGAGAGAAGTTGGGGGCAAACAGGCTGGCAGGGGAGCAGTTAGACATCAATCAGGCTGGCATGGGAGTGGTTAGGGGGTGATCAGAAGGCAGGCAGGCGAGCAATGGGAGCCAGCAGTCCTGAATTGTGAGAGGGATGTCCCAGATTGGAGAGGATGCAGGCTGGGCTGAGGGACACACACATCCCTCCACCCCCCAACCCCATGCATGAATTTCATGCATCGGGCCTCTAGTATTTATATATCATGATGCCAAATAAGGTACAACACTCCTGATGACTCTGTTTTGTCTTCAAATTAGGTAATGCTAGTCCTCCAACTTTGTTCTTTCTCAATGTTCTTTTGGCTATTGTAGTTACTTTGCATTTTTAATTTTAGAATTAGCTTCATACATATAAAACAGCCTGCTTTAGAATTTGATTGAAATCGGGGACATGACATCTAAAGAATGTCAAGTGTTACACTCATGAACACAGGTTGTCTTTTCTTTTCCTTAGATATTTAATTTCCTAATTGTTTTTAGTGTAAAAGTCTTATACTTTTTTAGTCAGATTTCCCCCTAAGTATTTCCTATTTTTTGATGCTATTGTAAATGGAATTTAAAATGTCATATTTTGATTGTCTGTTGCTTGAATATAAAAATACAATTTTATTCAAATAAACTTTGTATTTTAAAATATTTCTAGATTTACAAAACATTATGAGGATACTACAGAGTTCCTACATTCCTCATACCCAGTTTTTTCTGTTATTAGTATCTTACATTAGCATGGCATATTTGTTTCAATTAAAGAAACAACACTGATACATTAATATTAACTGGAATCCATACCTTATTCAGGTTTCCTTAATACCTTTTTTATGTACCAGGACCTGATCAGGGACACTATATCATATTTAGTTGTCATGTCTCCTTAGACTTCTCTTGGCTGTGACAAAAATTCCCTTATTTTGATGACTTTGACAGTTTTGAGGAGTACTAATCAGGTATTTGGTAGAATGTCTCTTATTTGGGGTTTGTCTGATGTTTTCCTTATGATTAGAGTTGGTAACAGAACACAGAGATAATATATATCCAGGGTATTATAAATACATATTATCAATATGACTTATCACTGTTTTGACCTTAATAATATGGCAGATGTAATGTTTGCCTTTCTAGAATGCCATATAATTTGTATCATCCAGTGTATCACCTTTTCATTCTGCTTCTTTCACTTATCAGTGTGCATTTAAGGTCTGTCCATGTCTTTTCATACTTTAATAGCTCATTTCTTCTTAGCATTGAACAATATCCCATCATATGTTTCTACTACAGTGTGTTTAGTCA